TCATTAGAAAAATTCTTTATTTATATGTATACCGAGTGAAAAAATCTCTCGTTAATGTAGCCAATATTTACCTAATATTTGACTTGTGATAAAAATGTGTGCAAATTAAAGAACTTTCTTGTGTCAAAATTGGAAAAGAAAACACTAAATCAATGTACATTTTATATGGACATAAAACTTTTGCATACATACAAACTGTTTAAAAGGAAATAATCCAATTAATTGTTATACGTATATATATATAATTAGGATAAAGACTTTCCAATAAGGCGTGTGTGTATCTTATTGTTCAAAAATAAAAACAAAAACAAAAAAAAATGAATAGAAAAATATATAGTCAATGAATGCTCATTGTATTGAAAATGTAAAATTAATCATTCTGCCTTTCAAAAAAGAGTCAACATTTTTTACGCAATACGAACTTTTACACAATACTATGGATCGACATTGCTAACTATAATAAATTGCTCGACTTAAATCAATCGAAACTTATGTACTCTCTCTCTCTCTCTCTCTCTCTCTCTCTCTCTCTCTCTCTCTCGCTCTCTCTTAAACAAAATCATGCATAATTCATTTGACATATATTTAAAATTTGTATTCTTTAAGAATCGTTAGACTCAATCGTTAACTGCCAATTGTCCTAAAATGTAAAAAAACGCATTATTTTCAAACAATTATTCCAAAAGCTTATTAACAAATACCCGAAATGAAAACAATGTAAAATCTGCTGTACAAAGATTAACCATTAACTTTAAGCGATAAAGTTTCATATACCTTAACCGAATGTCTTATTGCCCAAGTGTATGCAAACTAACCGTGGTTAACCACCGTAATTGAAATCTCAGTATTTCTAATTTCTGATCTTATGAACTTTCAATGTCTGTCGATCTTCTTCTCTAACCATCGTCCAGCTCTCGCCACATTGTTTCACTTTATTTTATCGTGAGCGTCATTATTCGTCTCCGCAGATGGACATCATTATCAAATGGCAAAGGTCAAAGGACAAGGCGTTGCTCGTTACGCGACTCGTCGCTCGTTCTTTGTTGTTTGCGAACTCGAAGCACAGAACGGTAGCCAATCAAGCCTTTGTGTTGCCGTGCTCCTTCCCCCTGCGCGCGCGCACACGCACGCACGCACACACACACTCTAACCCACAATCCGTAACCAGCAACTCGTTGTTTGATGTCTATGCACCTTTTCTCTCTCTCTCTCTCTCTCTCTCTCTCTCTCTCTCTCTCTCTCTCTAACACACACACACACACACACACAGATGAAATTGTAATGCTGTCTGGACTCAATGAATAATTGTATCTTTTATCGTCTGGACTCATTACGACTACTGGTTGTGCATATAATTACTCAGTATCCGCACTAGCACAACATTTCATACGACTCGGAACCGTAAATAAAAAATCCTTTGCCTTCGTGCGAATCGAAGCCTAGATCGAAAAGATTCAACGAATCAAATAAATCCATTCGATTACCGCGTTGATACTACAATAGTATTTTTAATCGGTAGGATTGTGTTGTGGGAACAAAGTTGTCGAATTTTTTCGAAAATAAGCCTACATCTATAAATGATTTAGCTTAATTAAGGAAACAGTAAAGGAATAATCACACTCTCTTCATTAATCATTGAGCATCGTAAATTTCACCGTAAGAAAAAAGCCATATTGACAATTGCCCGTCTTTCTATTGAATTTGAGAGGAGGCGCGGGATATTTATGCATGATTTTCGCGTCGCTCGACTCGGATGAGTAAAAAATAATCTGCCCTCGCCGGTATTTTAAGACGCGATCATCGGTCTTGATCACAAAGTGAGAAAAAAAGAGAAAATCAAAAAGGAAAGAAAGAGACTGTGCGAGGCAACGCTAAGGGCATAAACTCGCGCTTGGGTCGCTCGCGAGGACATGCGATAAAAAGGGAGGAGAATGAGAAAAAGGAGTCAAGCTGCTTGCGCGCGAGCGGCCAAAAAAGAAGGAACTTGAAAGGATCGTGGAAGCCGACTTAATAAACGACGAATTTAAAGTTTAAGGCATACGAGGCGTTTGAAATATTTTTTACTAAGTTTAAAACACATACACATACACACACACACACACACACACACACACACACACACAAACAAACAAACGAAAAAAGAAATAAAACATATATACACGCACAAATATATGGGGGGGGGGGGGCTGGCAAGCAAAAAGAGATGGGGGGGGGGGGGGCTAGGTGTGCAAGGTGAAGGGTGGAGAGGGGTATATACCTACTATAACTGCCTGTAAAATATTCTATTTAAATGAGCCTAAAACTGGATGTTTCGTATATAGTATCAAGCAGCCAAATTTCTTTGGACGTTCTATTTCCAATGTCATTCGCGAAGATTTCTTACAAATTATTTTATTTTTCTAAGAGAAAAGCATCGTTAATTGTGTGATCTAATAATGATATACTATAATCTAGCTCCCATCACGTAAAAATATCACCAAGTCTTGGACGGGAAGGTAGAGCCCTGGGATACATTGCTTCGTAAATAAAATAAATTTTTTGTAAGTGACAGGCCAGATTAACTTCTTTTCACCAAGTTTAAAATTTTTATCTTTCACGTCTAAATATTAGAAGGCTTTTGAAAAGTGTGGAGAAAAATTTTAACAGACGCTTCCTTCAAGCGCATACGAACATTCTCTGCCCTATTGACTCAAAGTCACGGGATTCGTCACTTATCGGTAAAAAAAAACAAACAAACCAAAAAAAACAAAATTTCATATTTTAATTAAGTAGAAGTAGAAGCATAATGGTGATATTTCTAGATTCTGTGTAATTTAAGATAAGTATAATTAAATATACATATACAGCGTATGGAACATCGAAATCCAACAATACGAGACATATTGAATCATGTTAATAAAATGCTTTTATGTACTCGAGGTGTAACATTCGCTTAAAAGTGAACATTTACTAAATTTGCGTAAAGCATACCTTGACAAAAGTACTTTAGTACCGTTATAATGCAATGCTCGTTAATAAGAAAACTTCTCCACGAGACATGATTTTCTCTAAGCCGTAAGCGACGTAAAGAAGTATCGGTGAAAGTCGAATGTTATTATCTGGGGAAAAAATACTTCGCGACTAAAATGTGCGTAATAAATTGTACATCAGGCAGAAATGCGCGTATAAAATGTATTCAGCGCTGAATTTCTTCTCCCGTGCTTTTCCCAGATTAGACAACGCAATGAAACTTTGCAGGCGAAAATTTGCAATAAAATAGCCCTCTGACGCTCTGGAACAAAGACACGTGCAAGTGCAAAAAGCTCTTTCCCACAGTAAAATAACAAGGACGATAAGTCTCACATACAAGTAGCGGACTTGCGATACGCGGACATTTCATCACGGGGTCGGGGAAGAAAAGGGGCATAATGAAAGCCGAGCCTAGTGCAACTCATACACGTTGATCAAGCATACCATGCCCCACGTGCTTTTGTTTCCGTCGATGCGTTATCGGTAAACTCGTCCTCGACTCTCGTTTCTCGAATTAACCAATCGAGTGCCGATACCAGCAGTGTTTTTGCGGTCTGCCGATGTGCGCGTGTGTGACGGTATGCCGTGAGGCGATACTTTTCCCATTGGAAGCCATTTGAAGTTACAGGAGTTTGGCTAACCAACGACGCAGTGATGTCGTTTCATTTCCTATAACGAGGGCGGGATTTTACCAATTGAATGAAAAAATGCAGAAAAAGTTGAAGACTGATCGTGGAGACTTCCGGTGTGAGATTGTGATCATGGTCCAATGATTCCACCCATTGATCATTATTAGAAAATAGTTGGCCGATAATTTTATAACTGAATTTTATAACCGTCGTATATAGAATTTCTCGTAACTATATTCAATTATTTATTATTAGTCCAAAATTTTTCAAAAATAATTTATACATTAATGTACGGACAGACATTATTTTACTATCAGATAGTAGAATCAACGTATGTCGGTATTACATGACAATTGTCATTGTGCGGCAATTGAAAAATAGCATATTTCAATATCTTTCACTTAATCGTGTGTGGTTCACAAAGTTCCACGTTCACCTACGAGTTTAGAAAAAATAAAATGTGGAGCAACATTGTTCGAGGCAAACAAAAAGCTGCAAATGAAAGACGAAACCATCTACAATGATACTGTGTCCGTACACAGATTTTTTTTTCTTTTTTTTTCTAATCTACATAATAGCGGATCGTTTTGTTGCATGGAATTGCGAAGGATATCGTTAAACGCTGATAATAAAATGAAATTTTAACCAATATACTTTACACTGCTAGGATTTAAGCTATTAAAATCTTGTTTTTGATAAATTTATTATTATAAATATGCCTGCGCGCGCTTCTTTTCAATACGATTACATCGTAATCTGATATCTTACGTGCTGGCATGATTAGTTAACGCGAGTTCTCAAGTCCATTGAAAATATATTCTCATTGATAACCCTCCCTCCCACCCCTCCGTCATCTTCGTACCGAACAACTCTGCCCAATAAAGACAAAATGATTAATGGAACAAGATAATCGAGCGTAAAATGGCTAATCGCAAAAATCTCTTCAAAAAGCGCAAGAAGCCGCGAAAGCTCAAGGATCGCTTTATCGGCCCAACTTAAATGTCGCGTATCCAGGCGCGCGTTCGAATGGCTGCTTTGTCATTTTAAAAGAAATTTTACCGCCGCTAAATTTCTGACCCAAACCGAACTTACCCCAGGCTTACAATACTTTCGGCAAACTCAAGAGCCGACGCTTTAATCCGCGATGTGATTGAGCGAGCGAGAGGTAGATTAAAAGCCAGAAGCCGATCGCGGAGAAGAAAGGGTCTGCGGAAGAAAGTCCGGCCACCCATTAGAGCCAAAAATCAAGCATCAGCGGGAAATTCGAGCTGCCTTGGAATTTCGATCGTGCCAGGCCTTCGAAGCGGGGACACTCGGTCGGAGAATAATACCCCATGGGGAAAGAAATTGAAAGCAACTCACCGCCGCAGGCCTCCTTGAAGTCGTCGCAGCAGTCGCCGAGCTTGAGGCAGGCGTGATCGCAGTAGCAGGGCTTGTCCCCAGGATTCTGCATTACCGCGTTCGGCGAGCTCTTCTGAACAACGCAGGCCGAGTCCCGGCCGGGACAGCAGAGCTTGGCCTCGGCGCAGCTGCCGGCCGCGGCGCCGACCACCAGGCTGACGAGACCCAGGAGGCAGACTGGCATCCAGCAGCCACCCATCGCGTAAGCTCCGGATATTCCTGTGGCCGTCGACGGGTAGGTTAGCGAACCGAAGGGAGTCGGCTGAGTTCAGGGAAGCGCCGGCTTGGAAACGCAGCCACGTGGCATTAGGAATGGGAGCCAGTACCCGGAGCCTATCAAGCCGATGTTACATCCAGCGGCCACAGGGTCGAAGAGGAGTTGGTACCTCGCACGTCGGTTTATGGGCTAAGATAACGTGGGGGATGTTATGGGCGCGCGCTCTCAACTTCAACGGCAGGACTGCGCGCGCCTCGGCTGTCGGTGAGACTGAGAGCGGCTGAGATCGCCCGGCGGGTGAAACCGCGGGGCTTCGTTTCGCTCTCCTTCCTCGTCAGCCTCAAGCCGCCGCCACCGCTGACGCCGCCGCAGCTGCCGTCGCCGTCGCTGGACCCGACGCCTACGGGGAAGTCGGGACATCGATTGTCCTACTAGAGGCTGATGATCCTACATGGACTCTATAAGAGTCGGTAGAGTTCTTGGCGCAGAAAACTCCGGGTTTACTGGTTTTATCGTTAATTGATAAGGATGTCGTCGAGATTAGAATAAATGACGATAATGATGAAAATCGGGATTCATCACTCTATGTTTGTGGAGGTAAAGCGCGAGCCTGCAATGTTTAAGATTAAACAATAGTCGCTTGAAAGTAAATTTTCGGATAATTTCTTGGACTGGTTCTTAATAGGAGGTGTTACGCAGGTCTCTGGTTTTTCTTTTTTCACCTTTATGTTAATATTGTTTTGTTCTTTTTTCTTTGACTCTTAATTTTTGTTTTTGTTTTTGTTTTAGATCTAGTTATTGAAACTCTGCCTCTTTTGGCGTTGTCTAGTGGCAGGCAGCAACAAGAATGCAATTTGAATAAGCCTTTGATATATAGCTGCATAAATAATATTGTGACGGTGCGGCAGGAGCTTTGTTCGGAGTGAAAATTTACTAGAAATGGAGCGATTCAAATCTACTGTATAAGATTAAATGGATAAGGTCGGGCCACTATTCGAAATACCAAAAGATTGCATACGTATCCCTGCAGCTGCGCTTTTCCTTATGATTTTATACACGCGAAATTGGAACAAATCAACTGCGGCAACGCTTTGCTCAAATTGAATTTGATTATTAATGTAAGGAATTTAAATGATTTGATTGTCTAAATCTACCTTAAACGTTTTTTTTATTTTTCTGACACGTGCGTTAAGAGCAAAACTATATGGAAAAGCGCACACATCAAAATTCCGCATAAATTAATTAATGTTAACATAGTCTGTTTCTTTTAAAAATGCATACTACTCTGGAATAATAATGCTCAACGACGTTATAATCTTATTAAAAGTATCGGAAAATTTATTTAATCACTTTTTTAGTTTGAAGTTAAGGAAAAGCCTATGCGATTAGCGTGACGCTATCGTTTGAAGAGAATTTAACATGATTGTTGCTAGCGTTATTGATTAATAATAATAAATTTATAATCACAAAAATAAACATTTTACGCAACTAATAATACCAAATATAACAATGATAATAATGATGTGACGATGATCATGATGATGATGATAAACATGGTAATGACAGCAGACACATTTTTATATTTTAATTTCTCATATTATTAGCGTTATACAAATAGTTTTTATATATCTTTTAAACGAGTGAGAATTATTAGAAGCTTCTTCGGCGCTATAATAAGAAAAGAAATATGAATTTTGAAAAGCAAGTTTTGTAAACTTCATCGAGAACTTCGTAAAGGGCTTTGCAAGTGAGTAAAGTCAAATTTTAATTTAGCCAAACAATGTTATTAAAATTATACTTTAAAAAGTACATTTATAATTTAGGAGAATGAATTTTTCAATTTTAATAAGAATTTTAATATTGAGAATTTTCGTGATAATTTGTAGCTTCGTATAGTTTCATCGAAACCAAGAGATTAAAGACAGATTTCCAATCATGAAAAAGGAAAAATTCCTAAAAACTGATTTTTAGGAATTATTATGAAATTTTTATTACGATTATTACGACTATTACTACATCCTCTTTCGATAGCTACCGACCTATTCTTCTTCTTTTGCAAATGGTTAAAGTTCCTCTGCTCCATCTCATTATGTATCGAAGCAATTTACCGTTCTTATTCCAATAAGAATATCACGACAATAATGGCATTACTTTATGCGAACGCCAAATGCATTTGATGAATGTTAATATTTTAATTAGTGTCGTTTATAATTTGTATTAAAAGCTAAACTGAAATGCACCAACAATATTGTGTGTGTGTGTGTGTGTGGGCGCGCGCGCACGCGTGTGGCTGTGTGTAACATTTTTGTGATTTTTAATTCTTAATTTCAATTTTTATTTTCCTTTCGCTTAATTCGACATATTAGAAAACGAATGTTTTTTTAATCTATTGACTTCAGTCTTGTTAATTTCGTATACGTAATGAAGTACGCGTAATCAGTTTCGCACATTTGTAATACGAGATTTAGTCGAATGAAAAAAATGTTTAGGTAGATCGGTAGTAGGATTGAATTGAAAATATCGGTCGGAAAATTACAGACAATTTTTTGGGAAAGCCCATCTGTTTTTCCTCGAATCTTCTCCAATTTTAAATAAAAATATTTAACGGGGAAAACGTTCAAATTCGTGTGATAATTAAATGTTTATAGATGTAGGAATTCGAAACTAAATATGCAGAAATATATTTCATTTAAAATATTGAATAAATAATGTGTAAATATTTTTAAAAAGTATATATATATATATATATATATATATATATACATCAAAGTGAAGATTGAATATTATTTGATGTTTTATTGAAATTTTACTTTAATATATTTATACCTCAATAATTAACTGCATTATCTAACTTAATCTAATATTTACTCATTGTTCCTATTGCCTCGCGTATTCTTATCTGGAGAATCACATATTTTTATTGTCACATATATATGAATACGTACTTTAGTACTGTTGTCAAGAAATGCTTTACTCGTATACGCAGAAAAATCTGATTTACTTAGTCAGAATCTGTAGTTTATTACGATTGAAGAGAGTAGTAATGAACCATTATTAAAATTGTATGAAATATACAAAAATATATATATATATATATGTATAACAATACAAATAAAGTACATGAAAATGATTTTTAAAGGAAATCATTGATAAAATAGGTGTGAAAATATTTTCATTTTTTATTATAGAGAAATGCATAAATAAAATAATGAAGTAATAATAGATCAATTAAATGTGAAGTAAGCAATGACTGAAAACAGTTGCCAAACAAATTCCAAATATTTTTCAATTCTGGTACGAATTGCCAAATGCGTGCGTGCATGCGTGTGCGCGCGCGCGCGCGTGTGTGTGTGTGTGTGTGTGTGCGTGCGCGTATGTGAGTACGCGTGTGTGTCGTTTCAATGGACAAGAAAATTGTAAATCATTTAAATTAAAAGTTTTAATTAAATTAAATTTATAAGTCAAAACTATAAACTATATAATTAAATCAGAGTTCATATATGTATTGCAATTCATACTTGTACTTTTAATTACTCTTTTTACTTTTGTATTTAATTACATTTAATTCTCATCTATTTTTATTCACATGAAACTAAAAAAAAAAAGAAAAAAAAGGGGAAAAAGCTTTGAGTTTAGAGTGTTTTATTTTTCCGTATACCGTATTCTCGTTGAAGTTTTTAAGACTTTGCAATTAAACGAGCTTCGGCATCATATGCCAAAAGTGAAAAATGCAAAAAGAACGTCGATAAAACCAAATTTATGAAAAATAACTGAACGGGTCGTATGTCCGCGTGGATCTGTCCACGTAATTGAAATTTACTGAGCATCTGGTGAGGCTGCATCGTAAATAGCGGAACCTAAACGAAAATTAGAGGCTGGAACGTAAGCATACGGAAGGAGATAGAAAGAGTTTGTGGTGAAAAGAGGAGCGAGAGAGGATGAAAGAAAACACGTTACGTCTCTACGTGGCAGTGTTTTATGCTTCAACGGAAGTCAGCTGTTGATTTCCAGTCTCCATTGCTGGGCGATTCGTTGGGGCTGGAGGCTGACGTCGAGATTCTGCTTAAGTGGATTCGTAGATATTGAAGGAGCACGGCTTAAGGGTCGGGAGAGGGAGTGGGAGAGAGTGAAGAAACACTTGTTCACTCTTTGCGGGCGCAAAGGCATAATCGAACGGCGGCTTTTAGTGGAGATCGTATCTATTCTATTCGTTTTCTGTTTTCCTTTAGCCTTTACTGCCATTTCCATTGAATACTTTCGAAAACTTTCGTCCACTTGCTTTTACAAACTCCAATTGTCAAACTTAGATGATATATGGAATGTGTCGCATAATTACGATACGTAGACATTGTTACGATTGCTAAATTAATTATGCGAAAATTTAAATAAATGACGACCAACCTGAGTCTATTTTCTAGGCTACAAAATCTGCAATTTCATGTGATAATCGAAATTTAATGTTCCATTTTTCTTAACCTTATCATTGTGTAAAATTTTTCGAACGTGTTACATTTTTTTTGTATTTTTTTTGTTTTATTAATTATAATAACACCGTACTTTCCACTTTTCAATTGTAAAAATTAACGATAAGTGTAATTGTTTATATTCATTTATATTCATCTCAAAAAGCAAGTTGCAATATTCGAAAAAAATACAATAAATTATTATCATCAGACCCCTGAAATAACCATGAATCAACGCATTCGTAAAACGGTATATTGTTACATTGTAAATTGCTTTGCACAAATTTTCTCCAATTCTTGGATTTTGTCACTTGTGTTAAATTAATCAGGGAGTTAAAAGTTAATAAATAATTCGATTCTTATATTTTTAATAGGTATTCTAGAAATAAATTCTAAAATTAAAGTTTCAAAGAGAAGATGATCCTAAAATGTCAAATACATACATATACCAATACATGTATCAGAAAAACGATCGATTAAACTTTGGTCCATAATTGTAACTGTATTTACCTTCAAAACAACGTTCTTCCTATTTATCTTGTGAATTTATTACGTTACCTAAACAATTATGAGAATTAAAGAAATCTTAAAAGAATCAACATCTATGAAATCACAATAAAAGTGCAACAAAAGTTAGAAGATGCTTTGTAAAATCTTTGTAAAATTATAACTAATGATAATATGGTAATTGTGTGTTTTAACGTCTAATTTAATCTATGATAAATAATTAGAGAAAAACTAATTTGTCTCGAGATACGCGAATAAAGAATAAATTTCTTCTATATCTACCTGTGGTTACTGGTTGATTAACTAAATGAAAACGAAATTATATATATCATAATTCTATCACACCTTTTTTTGTATAAGTTAGAAGAAAATATTTCTGCGTGGAACAGAGCAATGCATTTGTTATAAAACATAAAAAATCATTTTCGAAAAATTTTCTCACATATAGACGATAATTTCTTTAATTGGAAAATATTTAATAACAAAATTGACATACTCAACGCTATAGTGCACACATAAGTATTATACAAGCCTTTACAATCTTATTATTTTTCGATATGAGTAACGGACGAAAAATATTAAGATGTATTATTAAAATTATATTTTTGAGTACCATAACACGAGTAATCGTGAGGGGAATAAGGCACTCAAAAATCATGACAGGATTTAATAAATATTGCGATATTAAAGGAAGCGCTTTTTTGTTCGAATGAAGAAATTTTTAAAGTCTCGGATTAAAATATGAAAAAAGTAGGAATGCATATAGGCATAGGCGTTCATTTACCACGGCAGAGTGCAAATAATCTTATTTTCATTGCTTGTTTTTATTTACTGCTAATTTATTGTAGGAATTTTTTAAAAATGAGAACGAGATGAATAATGAGGACAAAGTTAGATAGAAAAAGTAAATCAAAGCGAACAGATATATAAAGACGCGCACGCGAAAGTGTGTGTGTGTGTGTGTGTGAGAGAGAGAGAGAGAGAGAGAGAGAGAGAGAGAGGATATTATCAGCGATGTCATAAAAGGGGAAAATTGACTTTCAGAAAACTTTTGAGTCTAAGCGAAAGTCACGTCGCTTGTATTTCGCAAGACAGCTGTTAGTTCAAAAGAAGGAAGTTCTTCGTAGGCGTATTGCATCTTGCACCCTACGCCCTGTCAACTCCAATAGGCTAAAAGTAGTAAATTAAATTACTCGCTAACAGAGCTCGGCATAATTACCGGATAAACATTCTAATTAACAAAGAAATAATCATATTTAGTTCTTCGAAGCGCTAAGAGACAGTAAAGCGAGCCTGACTTCCCAATTGCATTGGATCTTTAAATAAGGATTTATTCCAGAATCTTGAACTACTGTGAAATAAAGTGTGCTTTTAATGCTTTGTTTTTATTACCGAATAAAGTATGCTTTAAAAACACTCCTAATTGCGTAAGAAATTAAGCTGTGACAATAATTGAGAGACATTTAATAATAACCATTGACCATTGATTCTGGACTTGCATATTGACTTGATACAACAAACTTTCAATTATAATATCACAATCATTTAACTGAAATATTAAAAATTAAAAAATCTTGGAAATACTTATAATTATTTAAATAATTCAAAATTCTATTTATGCGAGTTTGCGTATTTTCATTCAATTAGATTAATAGTAGCTTATCAGATAGAAATGTTAAACCCCATAGTGAGTCAAAAATCGAAAACTTGAGTAAGATTTTTATCTAGAATTTTCTTTTTAAATATACAAAGTCTAAAGGTGAGTCATTTTGAATTAAATCTTATCAACAATTAACTAGTAAAAGTAATATTATCCATAATATTAATATCCATAATGTTATATTCAGCTAGTAAAAAATTTAATAGGTAAAATAATAAGTTTAAAAATATTTATAATACAATATTGACTATTTAACATTTTCATTACAAATATTGAATCTTTCCCATTTTATGTTTAATGTCTCTTTAAATTACGTATATTTTCGTATTTGTTAGTTACGAATTTTTTCAAATAACTCTTTTCAAAAGTAATTAATTAAATTATGGCTTCTTAATCTATCATTACACATTAGAATAAACATATTTTTTCATTTTACTTACTATGATGAAGTCTAATCACAGTTCTATATATATAATTTTTCAAGCAATTGCTTATTCCGAAATTCGTTTCATTAAAAAAAAAAATCATTTACCTAATTAAAAAATTAATTTATTATTATATGAATATTAATGGATGTAAGTTGAACTGCAGTGGGTTAACATTGAATACAATTTTAACAATAAACTCAGATTGGACTGTACAAAAATTGACTAACTAACTATATATATATATATATATATATATATATATATAAGCTATAATTTATAATCTTAAACTTATAATAAAGTAATTATTAATTAATGTGAGGTTGAAAATGATGCTTAAACTACTTAAAAATTAAAATAATTATCTAAATGCAATTTTGGTAGGAGAAAAAATATATAATTTTATTATAAATATTTCAGAAATTTGATTCCATGTCATTATTACAATAATATTATTATTCTTTTACTGGAAATATTTTTATTGATTCTTTCATTTAATTACGAAAAAGTTATTTGAACATTAATGTTGTAAGTATTTGGGTTTTACAGCAGATATTGCCTAATTCATAAATTACACTTATTAGATAATATGGTGCCATCTTTGGAGGAACCTCGGAATTGCAATTTATAATTATTCAAATAAAAATTACCCTAAAATCTTACAATTCTACAACACAATAAGGTGATGCATTATTCAGCATTATTATATAATAATGTACATAACTCATTTCCTCGTAAGAGATTGAGCAAATATTAACTCGTCGTTACATAGAGATTTGTCACTTAGCACTGTAATATTTAGTAAAAACGAGATTAAAAAAATTATATATCACATTTACAGGCTCTTAGGCTTTTTGCAATTATAAATGATTATGCAGTGAGTTTTAATGATTTGATAGGTAAGCCAGTACTCTTGTATCCAGCAGAACTCATAACTTTAGTATTCCTAAGTGTTTTGATTGTAGTCGAAACTGTCACATCGGAATGCATGGAAGTCGACGGAACATGGAAAAAGTACAGCATGAATCCGGCAGCAAGCAATAAATGCATACCTAATATAACGGCTGTGTAAACCGCCTTCTGTTTCCCTTAAACGATATGATAAGGCTTTATTGTTTGTGCATGAACAAACATGAAACAGAGAAATTTTGACAGCTAAACTATACAATTACCTGGAATAAGGGGTAAAAGAGACCGCAGTAAAACACCACCAGATAAAATTGTTGCAACGATTACCAGCGACCATTGTAATAATCCTATTTGAATCGTCCACAAAAATGCTACAGGTATGTAAATTGTAAGAGAGTAGCCGTATAGGCAAAGAAGTTCCAGAAGGCCGACCGATGTATTAGGCTGTAATATTAAATACAACTTAAGCTATGAAACATGATAAAAGATTTTCAATTTGCTAAGCGCTTACTCACATCTATTAGTTCAACATCGAGCGATTCCTGTTGACTTTTTGACCATTTCAATGCTATCCATAATATAATAGGAAACAACCACGCATACAGAAATATACAAACCGCAGCATAAGACACGATATGAAATTCATACTTCCAATGATAATTATTGGTATTTACAGACTGAAAGTAGTTGGCCAGATTTCCACTTATGGCAATGGCAAATATTAAAGTGATGCAAATCCAAAATGGACCATATAAATCTGGATTCTGTCTAATTTGGGTCAATAAATAATTGTCCACTCCGTGCGGTATCATTGATCTCTTTATCCTTTCCAAGACATCGTTTGTATCGACATTGAAGAACTTTTGATAATATTCTACGGTCCAGAAACTTCTTGGCACTGAACATGAAAGACAATTGTTTATAAACAATAGTAATCATTGAGCTAGTAAGACTGCAAACGCAACATTGCCAAAATTCATCGCTACTCATTTAGCAGTTATCGCATGATATTGACATACACTCAAGAGCATTAAATTCACAAAGCGAGCATTATAGCTTGCTCATACAATCGAACAATCCATCAACGGTTAATGAATACTTTTACCATCTTTTTGACCAGAAATTTCATTGAAGTCCTGCATAATCCCATCAGCCGTAGCATTACTCTGCAAGTGTCCAAACAGCTGTTGATTCGGCAGTCCTAAATCGACATTCATCTGTGCGGATGTTCCAGCACTTGAATCTGAATAATTATCAAAAGATATGAATTGCTGGTCCCTGGAATTCATTCTTCCACCTTCCATGACGTTCAACCTTATCACCCTATTTATCAACTAATACGGCATTTTGAAAACTCCCGACGCGCCATCTACATACTACGTGGTTTATCATAAAGATACCGACTTTATCGACGGGAGATGGAAAGGGTATATCCGATGGATCCACGTCACTCCTATTGGACGTGAAGTTCCAAATGCCACGCGTTGAGGATTCAAAAGACCTTGAGCTCCTCGAGTTCGCGAACCTAGGCCTCCTCGCACGACTGGTAGTATCCTAATGGGAGGAAGTACCAGGGACAGTAAGTAATACATACCCGATTGAGTGACGAGGTGCCGCCATTATTCTTACTAAAATATTTTATTTTCAATCCACACAAGCTTCTACAAAAGCGGATCATACAAGAATAAATGCAATGTTATTTCAATGTATTTGAAATAAGGAAAAGAAAAATCTACAAATATTTATCAATAGTGTATATTTCCAAATTTTATATATCAGACTTTTTCTAATACATACTTCATAACTTTCATTTACATACACTTGGACGCATAAATCCAGTTGCTTATTTCGTTACGCGGTTCAAAATATCCTCAAGTTCGAAAGTAATATCAAAACGTCATCCTCTTTTATTAAGAAAGTCCAAGTCGCTACATTAACGTTTACAGTTTGCATTAGAAAATAGCGATGAAAACGGGCGAACCAGAAATTTTTGTGCGTGTATACATGAACTAGAGAGAATAAGGATTCGTAACATATTACACACGACGCCTTTGATAAACATTCGTTTTATACGTTATTAGGTATATTTCGTTTCACTATTAACTTTCGCTACAAGTATTTTACATGCGAAATGATTCGACGTGGATCCTGTCTATTCAACAAAATTTTTAGAAATCCATACGATAAGACGTAGTTACAATATGATTTACAATGTTAAATCCATATTAACTATAACACTACTCAGTTACCACTGAATTGTACAGGTAATTTCAACAAAAATTCGAGAAATACGAATTTTTCGCGTACTCTTTATACTTTTCTTCTCTTCATTTACGTGAAATTAAAAGGCTGCATTCATTATTTTTTCTTGTTTTTCTCTTTTTTTTCCTTTTTTTTAATACATATATATATATATATATATATATATTAATAGTCAAGAAAAATCTACTGATCACAGAAAATAATAATTAAATTATTTTACATTCTTGCATTACTTTTCCTTTTATCACAAACATGAATTTCTTCACTGCTCTTCATTTTTCGTTTAAAACATAATATCATCATATTATGAATAATTATTCCCAGAGCTTCAATAGCAATAATACAGATATATATTGTTAATCTTTACTTATAATATAATATATTGGTTAAACTTTCACATTTTTTGCTTGATTCTACAAAATATACAGGAGTATTTTAATATTTCTCTTCACGTCTTTGGTTCTCGGCAATACTTTTTTGCGACGATTTGCTCGCCGCCAAAAATTTTTTTTATCTTTGTCACCTTACTAGCTCCATATTATCGAGTCGCAATTTTCATTCGGATTCATTTTACAAATTTCTCTTCTCTTATGCTCACTAAAACAAAAAATTGCTTTACACTTAACTGTTAATTATCAAAGCGTTATATTTCGTTATCTATACATAAAATGAACTACGAGTCTTATCTATATTCTCTTAGATTTATAGTATCATCGATGGTCGATCCCACATCCGCCGGACTCGAATCGGATGTTTTACAATGGTCAGTGCAATATACATTGTTGCTTGCCATAGGAATCAATGAGAGTGATAGATTAAGTGAGAAGAACGTTTGGATAACACATCTGGCGTGCACTACGCGACATCCAATATTATTCAGCATCAATTTGATGCTAATGAGAGACAGAGCACTGGCTAAAAACATCTCACTTAAACGCGTAAGTGAAACTTCGTTGTAGTGTATGTTGGGAGGATCGTGAGCACATTGGATGTTGGACAAAAGCGTTAATGCAGCTTGATAACACGACGACGGATCCATGATAAATCCACCTCGTGTCTATGAATATTATAAAGCTTATAACTAGTAGAATAATTTTATCTGGTTATTTTAATTTTCCGAACCGTTTCAACTATTTAAGCCAGTTGTGCCAAAGAAAAAATATAGAGACTTTGAATCGCGTGATGATGACGTTAAGAAAGTTTGTCAATGTCGTGATCTGGAATAATTCTCGACAAAATTAAATATAGTCGGTACATCATATAGCATGCAAATAATTTTTGATCGGTGCTTTGAAAAAGTATGTACCCTTTATCGCGTACAATTATTATTAGGTAATACTTTTGTGACTCAAGCTCTGTCATTTCCTAAACGCAAAAATTAATAATCAAAGAATAAATTGTAGCTGATAGGTGGTGAACGATCTCGTGCCGATGATACTATAAATTTTATAATGATTTAGTAAATTAGATTTCTTATTTAGCTAATTAACAGAGCAAAAAATATCTAAAAATCTGCTTGGTGCATCAACGTACATTAGTTAGAAATCATTATAATGCTATTGGTAAATTGCCATTTCGCCAAGCAATTTCGCAAGATTTCTAATAAATAATATAAACTAATTCTGTGCACATTTAATATAATGATTTTCTAACAGATTTATTTTTATGACATTTTTTTTTTGTAGATGATCACCACTTATATATAATATATAAGAGTTTGATCGCTTTCTATATTAATACTCAACGACTTCAATAATACGCGTATAGATAGAATATAATAGAATAAACAAACCCGATGAGTACTTATATTAACAATTCATTGTGTATGTTTATAAAGAAAATGTAATGACATCTCGCTGATTATATTTTTTTTACTTTTCCTTTGTTTTTATTTTTGTTTTTGTTTTCGTTTTGTTTTGTTCAGCAGTCAGTGGGAAGACTTAAAATGTCACTGAACTCACAATCGGTAAAAATCTGTATACAAGATTTAAATATATAAATACTCGGAAATTTTTAAAAAATGCACTTTGGCAAGCACGGAATATTTTAATTTTACAAAAGCTGGGCAACTTGTCTCGCCACATCGCCCCAGACATCCCGACTGATAACACAATCCACATGGATAATTTGTCGACGCACTTTCAATTCTACTCTATTAATTATCAAAATACCGATCGCGAGTTCCATGGTAATTACCACATTACTGAGGCGTCACAATCCCCGTTAAACTAATCCATTGCGCCTTTTGCAAATGTCGTGTTAAAATAGGCGGCTATAGACGTTGCGTTGTGACCTAACGGGGCAAGTCAGTACTACCCGAGCCTTTACCTTCGATAAACCTTCGCAAGACGGACATCGACCGACGTAAAACATTATGAATTCTATAATTTGCATTGCTCGAATGTCAGCATTTTTCACAAACTTATGGTAAATTTAAATTTAAACGTGCTGGATTGTTGCGACTGTAACGAGGTTTCTATTGTTTCTACTGCTTAATGTGATTGTGATTTAAAAGCTAAATTATTTCTAAAAGAGTGAGAGCTTTCTAAATACACGATTTTGTATGATAAATGGTAGTATGATAAAATTAGTATTAATATTATAAAGCACTTCTGTATCACCGCTACATTCACCTATCAATAGTACATAATAAACATTTTAAATAAAGTAAATGTGTCCCATATTTATTAAAGTGACTCACGGCCCTTCGGGGTAGATCATAATAAATCAGTCGCATATCCTAAATTAATAAAGGATAGCCGGCTTCTAATAAATGATAATGCATAGAAAATAAGCGCTAGGCAATATTTTCCTAACGAATGATGATGTGAAAATACAAGATTCTAGGACTATTTCTGATCGTTATTTTACTATTGTTTTCAACGATTTCAACATTGTGCAAAATAATAGAATCATTATGAAGAGTTAATTGTTCCGTTGACGCGCCGACTTCTTCATTATCTTTCAATGAAAATATTACCAGTAAAATGTAAACGACATGAATTTGCGATATTAATTTAAATATGATTGTACACTGTACCTTGATAACATATATTCGATATATGATTATACGAAAAATTTTCAGAAACTGTTTTAAAAATTACTTTTATCGATTAAGGAACAATATACGTAGCATTGTCGGGCATGCAGATAATTGATTAACAATTGTTTGTAAATAATAACTAAGTATTATTAAAATCTTCCTCATTGCTTTCACCTACATATTCTCAATGGATAAAATCTTGGAATTAAATTGGAATTGTATCTTCTTGAATAATATATATTCTATGAATTTGCTTTCATTGGTAATCCATAATCTACAAATGACAATTGGGTTGACATTATTACAATATATTTCCAAAACGTGAAAATGAGAAAATCAGCCGAATATTCAGCAAGTCGGGCCATCAATGGTCGCGTCAATACTCATAGAATAGTATTAATTGCAAGAAAGGCTATTACTTAGGCTATATACTTAAAAGACAAAGATGTGTTTTTCTACTCTATTCAGTGGTACTATCGTTCGAGCTTCTCTCACAGAATATGTAACTATCAAATATTAAGCTGAATGGAAGAAAAAATACGCTATTTAAAAATAGTATTAGCATTTCAACGACAATCCTCTAGAAGTATTAAACCGTCATTAAAGCATTCCAATTGCAAAAATTGAAGGAAATCGCACGAATGTATTAGTTTAAACGAAAACATTAGTTTAAAGACCTTTAGAAAAATTTAAGTCATCGTTGGTCTATTCAAAGGCTTTTTCAACTATAAATTAAAATAGAATATAATTATATGTGTACTGCAAAGCTGTAAGATGATATGCGGATTCTGTTTGATTTTCATAATAGAATTTTCTTGGAAAAAATTGCAAAGTGATTGTCTGACATTAAAATTGTGATAATTATTTGGGCTAATTCTGCAATACTGAAATACGTCATAGATAATACTGGGAGGTAAAGGGAGGCGATAAGTAAGGAAGTGATAATATTGACGACTAAAATTTTCCTGTTTCCTAGATCTGTTTTTCTGGATATGTTTAATATACAAAAAATGTCGAAAAAAAATCCAAATGACGATTAAATACATTATATAAAAATAAGGCAAGTTGCATAAATTGTATAAATAAGATCATCCTGATAATATTGTTAAAAATATACGAGCAAATTCTTTAATTTCCATAACCAGAAGGAGTAAGGACTTTAATTTAATAACCGTTTTGTCGTGAAAGTATAAACAGCATCCATGAAATGAAGACATTCTTTGTCCAAAAAAAAAATAAGAAAGAAGATAAAAAGATTGCCGAGCTATTAACAGCTATGCAAACATTGATGAACAATGAAAACAAATTCGTACAGTTCAATAAGCAATTGCGATGAAGCTACGTCATACAAATGAAGAAGATATTGATAATAAAGTAATGAAATATTTATCACCTCCGATTAATTTTAAACGCAATTCAATGTCAAATTGACGTATAATTACGAAGTAATTTCATTTGCTAATAATGAATACAAAAGATCATTTTGAAGAGTCCTTTAATTAATGATATTAATAATGTCGAGAGACAAGAGTAATAAAATGAATTTCATCAAATTCAAATGAAAAGTAAAAAAGAAGATTTCAATTCATTTACAGAAAAGAAGATTAATCATTGGAATTAGATAAGAGTTACTTATGTAGTAAATAATCATTAAGGGAAAAAATTATTTCTTTAGTGCTGTTGTTAAAACTAAGATTAATCAAGAAAACCATTGTTGCGATTAAAGACCTTTTCGTTAAGTTTAAGGCCTGAAAAGGTTGAAAAACAAATTATTGAATAATTTTATGTAGCTTGCGTCAATTAGAGAGATCGCGAGGATAAAATTTGATATTATTTATGTATATTGTCACGGATATTTCAGGGAAAAATTGATCGATCGACCGACGTATTACAAAACTGCTATAAACGCGAAATTAAAAACTTATTCCCATTGAATTTCTCAAATCGCTCGCAAAATTGTTAGCTGCACTAGACGGATTGTTAACTTCATTCTGCTTTTTATTATAGAATCATCGTATTTTCTTAGAATGTTGAAAAAAAAAAAATATATATATATATATATATATATATATATTGTCCAACGCCTATTCTAGGCATTTTGTAATTTATTTGAAATCGGCTGTTCTCTATTAAGTTAGACTACATCACTAATTTTCAAAACATCGATATTTTTTACGAATTTAATTTATAATTATAGTACGAAGTATTCGGATGTCTGTGTGCACAGTATCGTATTATCAATAACGAGAATAGTATTACTTTCTATTCTGATAATGATAATAATATGTGATCCGTGGATGCCCAAGTCGATTAAGATGTAATAAAAGCATCCACATGTTGCAATTCCTCGCACTCGATAGTCTTTTGCAATAATTCGATTGCCCCTTCATTTTGTTTGCATATTCTTGTACAATATATGATGTGCTTTTTCATTTCGAAATGTTCAGTCAGCGTCATTCCCTTTGAGTAATTAATTCGGACGCAGAAACGAACAGCCGTCCTTTTATCAGCATAAACACTTTTAATTCACTCAATTATTACCTATCACTTAATGTAAATTCTATTTATTCCTACATGAATGTACAACAATAATTTAATTTATAAAATCTGACCCTTTAAACCCTGTGAATCTTAGCAAAATACAATTTCCCGTTCTTTAATGATAAAAAGTGTTTACATTGTAGCCGCGATTGTTCTTCGCCTCTGTTCGCCTATCAACAGATCAAGATCAAACGCTTCATTAATCGCTGAATTTTCAACAAATCTCTTAATGATAATTTCCGCTGATTCTAGCAAAAGCAGCTTCCAGACCTATAAAGTGTGACTCATCAATTTCGAATGCAGCAGCCGCGTTGCTTCGGCAATCATGCGGCTAGTAAGTTCTTAATGTTCTTTGGGGTGTTGTCCTCATTCAAGTGTTTGGTCGTGTAGCGCAAAGCGTTTAAAAGTCCTTCACTCTTGCATGGCGGCTGATCCTTCAGAAGCTTTACGCAACCCTTTACCTGCAACATGCGACAACGCCAATTATTATCTTGCTCGCGTGATTATCATTGCTAATCGACTGGCATTTGAAAGAAAATGAATCGGTAATCGGATCTATTTTTCAAGCATTGAATGACGGACAACGTTCGTGAAATGATTGAGAAACGTTGTATGAAAGATGAAATTGCGCGGGCAAACGGCAAAGATTTACTGTTTTAATAAACCAAAACAAATAACGAAAAACAAACGAATTCACGCTATGTGAATGGAACTGCAATTCCGAATAATCAAATTATTTTCATACTTGAGTGATATGTAATATATTTGGTCATTTAATTGTTACATTTATAAGGCCATTTGTGAATAAGTTGTTGGTTCGCAAGCAATTAAATTATGCATGTAAATGTAACTCAGAATGGAATTTATGAAAATTATTACACATTACACTTTATAAAATAACTAATGGTAATCGAGGTTTACAAAGTAATACAAAGTAAATGTCGACTACAAAAGAAAACGGTAAGACCATTAAGCTCTTGCTTATCTGTGTCGTAACCAGTTAAGTCAAGTGTTCGTTATACGTTATGTCAACGAACTACTATTGTAAAGGCGACAAATTACTACTTTTTAAAATCAATGAGGAGACAGTTTGAATCTTAGAGCGGTAATGTAAAAAATCTTCCCTGCAACGATGCGAAGTTTTCCAACATTATGCGAGTAAGCGAGTTTGAAGATGCTACAAATAGTTAAAAAAAAAAAAAAAATTATACGTCAGCCGGAGCTGTGAACCGTGTGTTAGCTGAGTTGTGATAATAGAGTAACTGAGAGCTCCAAAAGTTATTTCGAATTTTAAAAGCTAATCGCTAATAACAACTTTATAGTGATAAAAGCTAACTTATCGAATGGTAAAACGACTGTTAAAAAACAAAAACAAAAAAAAAGGTTATTAAATAAAACATGACCAAACTACAATTAAAAATTATGATACCGAAATAAAAAGACAAAGAGTAATAATCAACAAAGACATAATTACTATATTATGTTTTTAATTTTTACTTTATGTAGATCCTTTATGTATATTTATATAGTAGTTTCGCCTAATTAAAGCCTAAATATCGCTAATAACATTTGTTATTTTGTTTAAAATGAAAATTATCGCGGTCATTGGTTTTAACAAACATAATATGTTTGTTTTCTGCGTTTTTTTTTTTTGTTTGTGTTTTTTAATTCCACTTTTAAAGTACCATAGGAATAAGAGAATTAATTTTTATACTGCACTATCTACATTTGACGTGAAACTCTTAGAGTTCGAACTAGAAAGAAAGCAGTAGGGGTTCACTCTCTTTTACAGCGTAAAAGTTGTTTGATTCAATGAATGAGCAAATATCCTCAAATCGAAAAATCCAAATATCCAAGGTGTTCGTATAAACGCCAGTATTCCATTAATTTCGAATGAAGTATCCTTAATAAAGGGTATACACTTAAACTTATCGAAAGGTTATTGAAAAATAACGATAAAACGTGAAATTTCATAATTACATAAATCTATAATATTGGTAAGAGGCAGTGGAATAATATGAAGATCAATTAATTAATTTTAAAAAGGAATTTTTACAAAAATTTCCCAAGCTTTGCCTTTATAAATTTACATATCATATGACAGGAAGAAACGCGCAGAAAGAAAATTATAATGTAATTTTTTTATTTTATAAAAGATAAGACGCCTAAACGAGGCTGTGTGTAAAAGGTAAAAGGCTAAAAATATTATACCATATGCTTTAACATGATTTTACGTCGGTAAAGCGCTCGTTATTAAACAATTTACGTATTTAACAATTTTCAAAAATGCATATTCGATTATGTAGATTAATAACCCGTTAATAATAATGATAACAACAACAACAACAACAGCAGCAGCAGCAGTAACAATGACAACAATAAATAATAATGATAATAATGATAATAATGACGTATAGAGGGAACAATCATAACATTGGTGTTTGAATGTATGTGAAAGCAAGGTTAGCGGGGCATGGAGTAATCGCGTAAAGTAGAACTTGTTAAGTAGCCTTTATTTTTCAACGAGATTATGCGTTTCGCGTCAATAAGGTAAGTGGATAAACAATGCCAACTATCGATTACGAAATACCATTGTAATGCTAAACTTACGTCAACGTTGGAGCCTTTAACAAAAGCTCCCTGCGGGTGCACATGGTCGTACAAAATAACTAGACCGACCATCACCCTCAAAACGAACAGTTGCGTCTCCTCGCGTTGGAACTGCGCCAGTAAATTCCTGTGGGACGGGAAATACTCCTTGAAAACGGCTACGTACATAAGTGCACGACGTGCAAAAGAAAATAACTCGCTGCGTTCACTTACGGATTCTCGAGCATCCTCAGGCAAACTTTCGCCATCGTGCCCAAAGTCTCCGTGATATTTTCCCTCGGTATGTCCTCATTCTGTTTTAGGGGTAAGAGAAAAGCGCGCATTAACAACCTTGGCTGGCAACTCTTTACACGTTCTTTGTGAAAATGGATGAATTTTTAAGCGTCACGAATGCACGATAGGTATGCAGGATAGGAATGAGACACGATATCTTTGATAATAAATAATCCCGATAAGAATAGGTGGTGAAGCGCGATGATCTTTTGGCTGCTCGAGCTCCAACTCGAGCGACGAGACGTGTGAGATCGATACCCCCCCCCCCCCCACCCCCCCCCCCC